CGTGCCCTGGGATCTTCCTGTTTGGGAGCCATTTGTGTCACGAGTTTGGGTGGGCCTCAGCCAAGGTGTCCACAGTCCTCTGTGCTTTGAGGTCACTCCAGAAAACCCCAAAAGCTTCCTGGATCTGTAGGAATGGAAAAATATTTTGGAGGGGGGGGTGCAAGGCGGGCCCAAACGCTCCCCCTGCCTTCGTCCTGGGGGTGCTGACCGCTCTGCCTCTCCCTCCCAGACGCCTACAACATGGCCAAGCTCCTGTGTGACAAGTACTACATGTCCTCGCCTGACCTGGAGATCGAGGAGGTGAACGGTGAGGCCGAGCTTGGCGGGGGGAGGGTGTCCCCTGCGGCAGGAGATTCTCGGGTGGCTTGTTTGGGGTTGGGGAGGATGCCAATGCTGACGGCCGCTCTCTTCCCCGCAGCGAGCAACTCCCAGCAGCCCATCAGCATCGTCTACGTCCCCTCGCATCTCTACCACATGCTCTTCGAGCTCTTCAAGGTAAACCCCAGCCCCATCACGGGGTGGGGTGGAAAGGAGGTTGTGGAGAGGGGGGAGGTCCCCTAAACCGCAGCCGGTTCTGTGCCCCCGCAGAACGCCATGCGAGCCACGGTGGAGAGCCACGAGAACAGCCCGCGGCTGCCGGCCATCAAGGTGATGGTGGCCCTGGGCCAGGAGGACCTCTCCATCAAGGTGCGTAAGGGACCGCCGGCTCCATCCTGGGGGGGTCCCCGAGCCCTGCCTGGGGGACACTTAGTTGGGGGGGCAGGGGGGAGGCCAGGAGCAGGGTTGTCACCCCCCTCCGATGTCTCATAGATGAGTGACCGCGGCATGGGCGTCCCCCTGCGGAAAATCGAGCGTCTGTTCAGCTACATGTACTCCACCGCTCCCACCCCGCAGCTGGGCACCGGGGGGGCTCCCCTGGTAGGTGCCCCCCTGGTAGGTGCCATGGGGGTCCCACACGGCCCTGGGGGATGGGGGACGGGGTGCGGGTCTGCGGCTGGAGGTGGCATTGGGGACGTTCAGGGGGTGCCTGGGGGTGGTGTGGGATGTTTCAGGGTGGCTAGAGTGGCATGGGGGTGCTTTGGGGGTGGCATGGAGAGGTTTGGGGGTGCTTGGGGTGGTATGGGGAGGTTTGAGCTTGGCATGGGGACTTTTGGGGACATTCTGAGGTAGCTCGGGGACATTTGGGGAGTGCCTGGGGGTGGCGTGGGGATGTCTTGGGGTGCCTGGAGGTGACATGGGGATGTCTTGGGGTGCCTAGGGCTGGCATGGGCTTGCTTGGGAGTGGCGTGGGGACACGGGTGTGACATGGGGACACTTTGGGGGTGGCCTGGGGACATTTTAGGGTGCCTGGGGAGGTTTGAGAGTGGCGTGGTCACCACTGGGGGTGCCTGGAGGCGGCACGTGGACACACGTGGGTGCACGTGGTGCTACTTGGGGTGGCGCGGAGAGGCTTGGGGTGCCCTGGGGGTGCCAACCTCAGCACCAGGGACCCCC